AATTAAGCTGGATTAAAGCTCAATAAAGACAAGTCAGGCAACTTTCCACCTCTATTGCCTCTTAACTTTATATTATTAGCATTTATTTATAAATTCTCACTGGCAGCTTCCTCTCCATTGTCCCCGCTGGTGGGTGCTGGAGACAGGCCTCCTTCAGAAGCTCCCAGGACTGGTCTGCAGAGCAGCCACTGTAGCCTCCGGGATATGGCAGTGCCATCCCTGCTCTGGACTGGTTCAATGACAGGACTCACCAGCCTCTCCTGCACAGAGTCGAACACCCCGCAAAGACTTCCCCAGGGCTCCTTTTCTCCCGTTCTTTCTTGGGAAATTTCTAGAGGCCACAGATGTACTGGGTGGTCTTAGTCTCTCTACAAGATGTGACCAAGGCCCCTTCCCAGCAGGGAGGAGACCGCAGAGGTCTTCTGGAGAGAGCGCTCCATGCTGGGGATCTTCCAAAGGTGGCCGGGTTGGGACTTCCTCCTGCAAATGGAGAGCCTGGGAGGTTTGGACACACCTTCCGGGAGCCAGCACAGGGCAGAAGGCCTGAAAGTCCCTCTTTTCCTCTCCTCTCCCCTTACGGCTCTACGTCTCATCTTGTGGAGTCTACCTCTCCCACTATTCTACAGAGAAATGAGAGGACACAAAAGCCATTTACTTTTTGCTGAATGAAGAGTTATTGAAAGAACTAAAATTCACATTGGAAATAAACATAAGTGAGGCAATATACTAACACAGTAATGAATAGGTACATTAAAAAACCCAGAAGAAAACAAAGAAAAATTGAAAGGGAAAACAAAACAAAGATATAAATGACATAACAAGTAGAAAGACATCATTAGAGAAAATAGCTCTTATTTACACATAGTATATTTCGGTGGGAGACATTCTACTTGGTATACTACCTACTGCAAGATGTTATGTCTAGTCCTTTCTGAGAAAAGAAAATTGTGAATGAAACTGAGGAGAGAGACAAGAAATGCAGAACCATTGTAATTGGACCATCCCAGACTCACTGGACAAGAAAGAAGCACTCTACATTAGCTGCAAAATGTCCCAAATAGCATGTGTACTCACGCCTGTGTGGATGGATAGAATGAAACTCACATGCCAAGCGATGGGCCCCATATGGCAATCTGCTATAGTGCCTCCCCAAGATGCTACATCGGTAAATATGGTCCCTGCCTCCTACTTCACATTTTTCCAGTGCAGTCTTTAGCAACCGTGACTTGGTTACTAGTTCTATGGCCATAGGTCTTCTGGAGAGAAAGCAAGTGCTCCTCCAAACCTACCTACAGTTTAAGACTCTCCTTATTGCTGTAAAGAAAATCTCACTGCAGAATAAGAAACAGCGAGAAGCTCGCCTACAGAAATCTTAGGATCTTCTCCCTTCACCCTCAAATGCAAACGTCCTTGGCTGAATAGAAGAGCTCTCTGTTGAAAAGGACCAGTGAGATTTAAAAGGCTTTCCTGACCCATCTCTGCCACCCCCCATTCCTACCCAGTGTGGTTCAGGAAAAGATCTCCACCCGAGCAACTGTGGAATCCGATTACTAAAGACAATAATAAGTTATAACCAAGTGGTAAAAAAAAAAAAAACAGACAACTGAAAGCAAAACTTTCTATATAAACAGCAAAGGGCTATAATATTTCATTGCAAAGCTCCAAGTGATGTTTTATAAAATTGATAACTATAGGTTTGTAACTTTCTGATTTGTGTATTGTATCTAGTATTTTAATTAGTTGCCATGAATACTTAAATGTATTTTAGAGATTTTTGAAAACACTTGTTATACAACACATTTAGTTAAATGTTATTTTACTTAAATGTATTTAATCATATTTTCTAACACCTTTAATGATTCTTCAAATAAAGATGTCCGAATTTAGTATTTTTGTTTTTTTAGCGCTGCTTTACATTTATGGACCGAGGATTTGTGTTTAAGATGGTTAACAATTACATCAGCATGTTCTCCTCCGGTGAGCGCAAGGTAAGAGCCATGTACAGGAGGGATTATTTTCTAAACTATGACATTATAAAATAATAAACTAGCCTCTGTATACATCTGCCTGAAACATTAACCTGTCCATTCTCTGTATCAGAAAATGATTTCTACACTAAAAGGAGGCAGCCTTTTAATGGTTCGTCTGCCGAATAACTCTCCCAAGTCCGTCCTTAATAGGGACCAAGGAGAGTGGAATGAAAGTGTTCACATTTCATTTCTGTGTCTGGTGTGTGGCTAATGGCTCTTTTCAGCTGCAATCACTGTAGTCTGGTTGTCCCTGGACTGTCTTGGTTTCAGCACTGAAAGTTCCACTTCCCTGGAAATCTTTAAGTCCTAGGAAAAACGGGACAATTGATCACCCTACCCAAATAGCGGTATGTGTCAGGGAGACGGAGAGAGAACTCTATCTGGTCCTCAAAGGGTGGCTCTTAGACCAACCAGGTAGCATCACCTGGGAACTGAACTGCCACCAGGGAGGCCCAAAAATCTGAACAGGACTCTCATGTGATTCTCATGCGCTCTCAAGTTTGAGAACCACAGAACTATGGTATGGCTTATACCGGAGGGAACTCAGACTGGAAACGGGCCAGATCATGATCGTTGTATCCGTGAAGGTTCTTGGAGTTGCAAGAAACAGAAACTGACTCCAATTTGAGCAAAAGGAAATTTATTGAAAGGCTATTGGGAGTAAATAGCATGGATGAAACAGCTGGAGAACAAGGCTTTTAAAAGAGCAGGGGCCAAGCACTTTCAGAGCACAGGAATACAGTCATGTGTCACTTAATGACGGGGACATGTTCTGAGAAATGCACCATTAGGCGATTTCATCCTTGTACAAACATCCTAAGTGTACTTATGCAAACCTAGACGTATAGCCTACTCCATTATATACCTTCTTTGTAATCTTATGGGAACACCATTTTATATATGGTCCATCATTAACTGAAATTTGGTTATGCAGGGCCTGGCCGTAATCACAAATGAGGGGCCATGTGGCCAGGGTGCTGCTGCTGCTGCTTAAATGAATCATCTGGAACCATTTTCTCCCTCTTAACACTCGGCTGTAGATTTGCATTCCATAAAGGAAGTGTGTGATCAACCTGCTTTGGATAGTACACCTGCCTCTTAAGGAGGGAAGACAGGGCACCTGGATTAATAGTTCTCTGTTAGCTTTTTCCTACTGGGAAGGAGATAAGTCACCAAGGGGAAAATAGGTATTGGGAAAGCCAACAATGCAGAGAGGCCAAAAATAAATAATGATATTCTGACAGCCTCTC